GGTGGATCACCTGAGCTCACAATTTCAGAGATCAGCCTGAACTAGAGCAAGACCAAGACCCCATCTCTAAAAATAGCCAGGTATTGTGTTGGGTGCCTGTAGTCTCAGCTACTCAGGAGGCTGAGGCAAGAGAATCTCAAGCCTAAGAGTTTGAGATTGCTGTGAGCTATGATGCTACAGCACTCTACTGGGGTGACAAAATGAGACTTTGTCTCAAAAAAAAAAAAAAAAGGAGAAAACTGAGGCTGGCCGTTCTGGCTTACTCCTATACTCCTAGTACTCTGGGACACTCAGGTGGGTGGACTGCTTGATCTCAGGAGTTTGAGACTAGCTTGAACTAGATGGAGACCCTGTCTCTAAAAGTAGTTGGGTGCCTGTAGTCCCAGCTACTTGGGCAGCTGAGACAAGAGGATTGCTTGAGCCCAAGAGTTTGAGGTTGCTATGAACTTTTGATGCCACAGCACTCTACTGAGGGTGACTGAGTAAGACTGCCTCAAACAAATTTTTTTTTTAGACAGAGCCTCAAGCTGTTGCCCTGGGTAGAGTGCCATGGCATCACAGCTCACATCAATCTCCAACTCCTGGGCTCAAGCAATTCTCCTGCCTCCGCCTTCCCAGTAGCTGGGACTACAGGTGCCCACCACAACGCTTGGCTATTTTTTGGTTGTAGCTGTAATTGTTGTGTGGTGACCCTGGACTAGATTCGAACCTGCCAGCTCAGATGTATGTGGCTGACGCCTTAGCTGCTTGAGCTACAGGTGCCGGGCCTCCAAAAAAAAATTTTTTTTTTGAGAGAGAGCCTCAAGCTATCCCCCTGGGTAGAGTGCTGTAGTATCACAGCTCACAGCAACCTCTAACTCCTGGGCTCAAGCGAGTCTCCTGCCTCCGCCTCCCAAGTAGCTGGGACCACAGGCACCCGCCACAACGCCCAACTATTTTTTTGGTTGCAGCCATAATTGTTTTGGCGGGCCTGGGCTGGGTTCGAACCCCACCACCTTAGGTGTATGTGGCTGGCATCTTAGCCATTTGAGCCATAGGCCTGGAGCCCCTCCCCCCCCCCAATTTTTTAAAATAAAAATAAAAACCAGGAAAAAGCTGTATTAAAACTAATACTCAAGTCATGTTTGACTTCTGCAATTGTCAGAGTTGCTCAAACATGGCTAGTATTCATCTTTTGTTATCAATACATACTATTATTACAAGTTAAATTCAGTTTTTTCCTTTGTTAAAATGTATATATTTTTTGGCACTCTCTGTATATGAAAGAAATCTATTGTGGGAATTGGCTCATGCAATTATGGAAGCCAAGAAATCCCATGATATGCTGTTTGCAAGCTAGAGCCCCATGAAAGCTAATAGTGGAATTCAGTCTTAATCTGAAGGACTGAGAATAGGGGTGGGATGGGGAGTAGGGATTAGTATAAGTCTTGGATCCCCAGGGCCTGAGAAGCAGGACTTCTGATGTCCAAGGGGCAAGAGAAGATGGATGTCCCTGTTCAAAGAGAGAGAGCGCACATTCGCCCTTCCTTTGCCTTTTGTCCCATTCCAGTGGTTGGATAATCCTCTCCCATACTGGTGAGGTTGGATCTTCTTTACTCAGTCCACTGATTCAAATGTTAATCTCAGCTGGGTGCCTGGAGCTCAATGGCTAGGGCACCAGCCACATACACCTGGCAGTTTCAAATCCAGCCTGGGCCTGCCAAACAACTATAACCAAAAAATAGCCAGGGGGATGTGGCAGGTGCCTGTAGTCTCAGCTACTTGAGAGGCTGAGGCAGAGAACTGCTTAAGCCCAAGAGTTTGTGGTTGCTGTGAGCTATGACACCACAGCACTTTACCCAGGGTGACAGCTTGAGACTCTGTCTCAAAAAAAAAAAGTTAATCTCTCCCAAAGCACCCTCACAGACACACCCAGAAAGAATGTTTTACCAACTATTTGGGCATTCCTTAGCCCAGTTAAGTTGACACACAAAATTAGCCATCACAACAACTAACTTTAAACTTTTAAAAACACGGGCAGCACCTGTGGCTCAGTGAGTAGGGCGCTGGCCCTATATACTGAGGGTGGTAGGTTCAAACCCGGCCCTGGCCAAACTGCAACAACAACAAAAAAATAGCAGGGTGTTGTGGTGGGTGCCCGTAATCCCAGCTACTTGGGAGGCTGAGGCAAGAGAATCACCTAAGCCCAAGAGCTGGAGGTTGTTGTAAGCTGTGATACCATAGCACTCTACTGAGGGTGACAAAGTGAGACTCTGTCTCTAAAAAAAAAAAACTTCTAAAGACACAAGGTGTTTTTAAGTTGGGAGGGTGGTTTCTTATTCTATTCCTTTTGGGAGAGGACTACAAAAACTACTTGTAACAGTATAATCAAGAGCCAGAATTTGCCTACTTTTACTCTAGTCCATTTCCCTTTATCTGCTTTTACTGCTGCGTCAGAAAGTTTTGGATAAAAATTAGCTAGCACATAAATGTGTAGGCTGACAATTCTAATTACCTGCCTCTAGCTATGGCTGTGTAACCTGATTGCCGCCAGGTGTCAACAATGGCCAGCTCATATCAATGTACCACCTGCTAAGCTCTGAATGTTTGTGTTCCCTCCAAATTCACATGTTGAGACCTCATCACCAAAGTGATAGAGTTAGGAGAGGAAAATTCTGTGAGGTGATTAGGTCATGAAGGTTCTTCCCTTATGAATGGCATTAGTACCCTTACGAAAGAGGCCATACTAGGTGATGGATATGGTGGCTCAGTGCTCTAGTCACAGTTACTTATAAGGCTGAGGCAGGAGGATCTCTTGAGCCCAGGAGTTGGGGGCCAGCCAGGTAGCATTGCAATACCCCTAATAAAAGAGGCACACTTATACCATGTGAGGACACAGCTAGAAGGCACCATCTATGAACCAAAAAGTAGGCCCTCCCCAAGCACTGAATCTGCTTCTGTCTTGATCTTGTACTTCCCAGCTTTAAGAACTATGAGAATGTTATGAGTTTTTATAAGCTGCCCAGTGTAAGGTGTTTGAGTATAGCAGTCCAAACTATAAGGGACCAAGATAACTCCTGTACAAGGTACGTAATTGAAAAGGACTGTAATTTATGTGGTTTGTATCTGTTTGGATTTAATTCCAGAAAAAATAACTGAGACATTTTGAAGAATTTTTTTGACAAAAAGAAAATATTCTGGCAGATTATATTTTCCTTAAATACTCCAACAGTATCTTCATTACACATGCTCTTCTTACAATGGGACTAACACTTCTCCCATTGAGAGGTGTAGTCTATGTCTCCTTCCCTTAAATGCAGTGATTTTGTGACTTTTTCAAAAAATTATGTACTGTAGTGATAGCTGGTTAAGTCTGAGATTAGGTCTTAAAAATAAAAAGAGGCTGGTCTGAGTGCAGTAGTATTTGTAACTAATTGATCACAATCAATTATAGATTTCCTTGTACCTTCTCCACTCTCATTGCTTCACTTGACTGGCCTGAAAAAAAATGAGGCTTCTGCATTATCCTCTCAGAACTCTGTCTCTCTTGGAACATAGTGAACATTCCTCTGTGAGGAAGCCAGGCAGCCACATGGAGAGACCACATATAGATGTTCCAGCTCACTTCCCAGACAGCAGCCAGCATCAACTGCCAGACGTGTGTCAATGAACAAACTCTTCAGATTCCAGACTGAGGTGGTGACTTTGAGCCACCCCAGCTGACAGCAAATGGAGTTGTCTGAGCCACTATCCTTATGACGGTTTGTTATGCAGTGGTAAATGACCAAACAGGTATAAATAATACTACTCTAGACATTTAACATATATTTAAATCATGTCCAATCTTTTACATCACATATCAATGTTAAATTCTCTTGACTCGTGCTTGTAATCAGTTAAAAATTCATGTAGCACCAAGCTGTGTGAATTATGCCACCTATTACTGTCCTTGGCCTTATATTTCTGGAGGCAATCCTTCCTCAAGTCTGAGAATCATGGTGACCGCAGCTGATTAGGTTACTGACCCTATACACTTTAAGGGCTGCAGACGATTTTGGGTGTTGGTGAGCCATCATTGTAGTTTTTTTTTTTTTTTTTTTTACAATGATCACAGCGTAAAGGGTTTCATCTTGAAACCTATTTTTGCATTTCAGGAGCTACTAGAAATGACACTTTAGGGGGGAAATACAGTTGGCATAACTAATTTTCCCTCTCTTTCTTTTTTGCTCTCCAAAATGTTACTGCTTAGATTACTATGCATTGGTATTGTGAAAATCCAAAGATGGACAAGACATATTTTTTGCCCTCTGAAGAAGAGTAAATGAGAAAGCAAAAGTTGCCATACTGTAACAGCATCATGCTTGGGGCGACCAAGAAATAACTTTGTAATTTTAGCACGTACTTCACTTATTTAAAAAACATCAGTTTCCGTAAAGTCAACTCAAGCTAATCCTTGTTCCTCCTTCCCCAAGTCCTCCCTCTGGATGCTGTACACTCCCCTTCTCCCACTTCATCCTTCTTCTTTTCCCAACCCTTTGCATCAGCCGGCAGGAAGTGGCTCCCTCCCGCTGGGTCATTCCAAGAATCCAGCAGGCGTTACGTTGTGTGCATTCTGGAAATGGGACGCAATAAAAAGGCCCAGGACACCTGGCACCGGGATCCTATACATTCCATCTTTCTCAAAAGCCCAGGCTTGACTGAAGTGGGCTCCCCGCCCAGGTGCCGCGACTAGCAGCGCTGAGCCTGCAGGTGGCCTTCGCTTGACTAGACGCAGCGCCGCTCCGACAGTAGTAAAGGAAGCGAAGCCCCAGGAGGTGTGGCGAGCGTAACCGCAGCCCCGCGCGGTTGGGCCGAGACAGTCACGCTCCGCCCGGCCAAGATGGCGTCCTCCCCACCGCTCCCTGGACGTGGGGGCGGGGCCGCGCGTGCCACGTGACCGTCCCCGCCGACCGCGCGTCCCCGGCTGTCCCAGGCGCGCGCTGGAGTCTGGCGGCGGAGCAGACGGTACCCCTTCCCCACTAGGGGCGTCCTGCCTCGTCCCCGCCCTGCCGCGAAGCTCTATTCTGGCGGCAGAGGATCGGAGTGGGGTTACGAAAGGGTGCGCCCAGCGGTGTAGAACCAGAAAGGGGCTGCGGAACGGGGTCCTAGCAGTCCGTGCCGAGGCGGGAGGCCAGAGCCCCCAGTGAGGGGCCGGGCCGGACGAGACAGCCCGGGCGTCCTGGCGGACCGCCCGGTGCACAGAGCAACCGTGTTGGGAAGACTCAAGGCTGTCTGTCCAAGCCATGGGCGCTGTCAGGGGTTCGGGGGTCCCCTCAGGGCCCCGACCACTCGGCCTGGGCATTTCATCGGTTCCACATCGCCATCCAGCCTCGAAGCCAGCAGGACTGAAAAATAGCGTCGGCCAAACGTGTTCTTCCCTCTAGGGAGAGGGGTCGAGCCCGGCAGCCCGGGGGATTCAGGAGGGATGCCCTGGCCCTCGGGGGGCGGAGGGAGCGGAGAGCGCCCTCTTGGACCATCACATGCCGCCTCCTGTGTTTCTATCTCTGCTGAGTGGGCTGGGCCACGCTGACCACCCTGTAGTAGGAGGGACGGACACGGCTCAGCGGGCTCTGACTGCCACTTTTAGGTGGCTGCTCACGGGGACCCAGGAGGGATCGGGCATGGGACGCAGCCTCGCCTCCCTACCGCCCAACCTCTCAGGCGCCGGAGTTGGCAAAGTGCAGATGTGAGGGGACCCGTCGGCTGCCCCGGCTTCTTCAGGACACCGCCGGGTACCCGCGCGTCCCTCCGCGCCCCAGGAGGAGCAGCTTGGTGTAGGGCTCCCAGGCGGGCGGGCGCGTGGAGCCGGAGCCCCAGCCTAGCCATGGGACATAACGGGAGCTGGATCTCCCGAAACACCAGCGAGCCGCCGAACGTGTCGGGTGCGGAGGCTGCGGGCGTGAACCGCAGCGCGCTGGGGGAGTTCGGCGAGGCGCAGCTGTACCGCCAGTTCACCACCACGGCGCAGATCGTCATCTTCATCGGCTCGCTGCTCGGTAAGCCACCCGCGGGGCGCCTCCGGGCCGGGCTCCCCCGAGGGCACGGACTCGCCGCAGCCGCCGTGGGCCCGGGGTTCCGGGCAAGGGGCAGGTAGATAGATGCAGGTTTAGCGATGCCTGAGTAACTGCAGTGAAGTTAAGGAGGAGCTGCCGACTCCAGTCCCCACGCCGGAGCAGAAGAGTTCCGCTAGGGCTTTCCTTTGGACCGACGGAGGTGCTGAGGCTGTCAGCCTCAGAACACCCTGGGGGAACGCTCCCGATGCGGGGCTGAGCGCTGGCACCGGCTCTTGTTTACAAATAGAGAAAAACAAATATTCTGTGGGAATTTGTTGCTGACGATTGGAAAGAATGTCACCCGCCCCTTTAAAGATGTGTTGCGCGTTCCCATCTTTACCCTATATATAAAAGTGTTTTGAAAGAATCTTATTTTGTGCGTGTTTTATGGCTTGCTTCTTCGGAACACCGACCTGCTGGTAAACAACCCTGTGAAGTTAAAAATCTCTGTCGCCTTAGATGTTTTTGAAACAAAACAAAATCTACTCTACTTCCCTACCTGTGTTTTGTTTGAAGTACAGAATAAATAAACCACACATACACACACACACCAGATTCAGGTTTACTTGTTCAAGGAGGAAGAGATCAACAAATTGAAATGAGTGACTGGGAAGAGAATTTGTCCACTAGTGTGAGAAATATCTGTACTTCTCACTACTCTTAAATGACATTACCGTTTATAGTTACTCTTCAAATGCTAAATGATACAATCAACATTTATTACTATTGAGATTTGTTGAATATGTTGCGAACTACTTGTAGATGTGTGGCTTCCCTTGCAGTGTGAATTCTCTGATGTGGCATTTTTAAGAATGTTAAGAAGATTGCTTATGATTATGTGTGATATTATAGGTAAGACTACTTACTGTTAAAGTTTCGAAGTAGGAATAGGTTACTTTTTGTAGATACTTGTGAATTTCCCAGAAGACTAAGATAATTGACATAAAAAAGACTATTTTTAGAAGAATCTGGGAATTTCCCTTCATACTTTTTCTAATTTGTCATCATTCCATTCCACACTGTCATAGTATTTATTTTCCACTTTTTGTTACAGGACATTTTCAAGAGTAGACATAGATGTGGCAATGTCTGGGGGGGTGTGTATTAACATGTGTTTTTATGAAATGTTAAATGCACATTAACAGAGCAGAAGGCTGTGTTCCAAATACTTTCAACATTGATTTGATTGACACTTAACTGAATATTTAAGTGGATAATAGTGGCATGATGCACCATTTTTACATTCCAGTACTGGAATCTAATTCACAAAAATCTACATTTTTGTACTGTCATATTTACTTAAAGTGTTGATTATTGGAGAAGCAGAAGTGGCTGTATTTTTATTTCTGCAGGTTCCTCTCCTCCAACATATGGCCTGTATATATATACACACACAAACACACACACACACACATATAGGGAAGATACCCTGAAGAAAGATGGCGTTGGGAGACATTCTCCTGAAAAATTTTCCCTTGGACTTTGCAGTTTTTTTTTTTTGGCCGGGGCTAGGTTTGAACCCGCCACTTCCAGCATATGGGTCCAGTGCCCTACTCCTTTGAGCCACAGGCGCTGCCCTTTCCCTTGGACTTTAAACATTTGAATACTATTGAAAACAGAAGGAGGGTATGTGTGTATAAAAGACATAGATAGCGGACATTGAAGAAATGTTACTTTTGCTGCCTCTTGTCTTTTCTGTTTTCATAACTTGTATTGGATTCAGGAACTTCTAGGTAAATCCGCCTTTATTTTAGCTCTTTTACATATAGCACTTGTGAGTGACGTGCAAAATTGCTTTTGTGGATGTCTCCAAAGAGACTGATTTCCCTCTGGATCTTTGGTGCCTAATTTGACCTAGGGGGACATATATTCTCCTTTCCTCATTACTTGGGCCCTCCTAAAAGAGAATTCCATTTGTTCCCTTCTATTTTCGGAAAAAGTATAAATATGGGTAGCATTTTTGGTTAAAAAATGTCTTAAAAGTGTAGCTGAACTGTAACATTGCCCTGTATACTTATTGCTTATGAGTGTTCTAGACTCTGTTCTCCAAGGATTTGACCCATGCACACACATCTACATTTGAATTCTCTTGGTAATGACAACTGAGGCTTAGAACTTAAGTTCCAAAGCCATGTGCCATCAGTTACCAGGCAAGTAAACTTGGAAAGCATGGTTTCATAAAGCTCCCAAATAGAGAAAAATCAGAGTAGGAATAAAAGAAAAGAATCTGGATGACTGAACAGTAAGTTGTAGGAGGATTGAATAGTAGCTCGAATAAATTACTGATTAAATACTTGGCTTAATATGTTTATTTTCTCTGTTTCCAAACACAGACAAATGAGAAATCTCTTTTATTTTCTTTCCTTTAAGCAAAAGAAAGTTATTTCAAATATAACTGAAAATAATTCAAATATACATCTCATCTTCTCTAAATAGATTTCTTTTAATAAGGGATTTCCAGAGGTCCATTAGTGTATGAAAATAATTCATTTGTACTATTGATGTTTTACAGTTCTTTTTCAAAATGGTTTTAGTGCCATATATTAGAGAAAAATCCCTCACAACTTGGAATAACTAACATTTCAACCATAAGGAACATTATTTGCTGTGTTGTAAATGAACTCAAGACTTGTATATAATAGTATTCATATAAAATGTCTTTTTTTTTTT